CTGGTTTGATAAGGTGATTCCCCCCCCCCTTAGGACTTGGGGTGATAAAACATTATGCACACATCCACCCTGCCTGTGCCAGTGTATACGTTTGACGTGTGAATCTGTGTGAGCTTGCGAAGGCACACACATCGTTATGGTTACAGTATATAACGTGCCTGTAAAATCTGATTACACCTCGGTGTGTACTTGAAGGGGTCTTGGGTTCCCTCTTTTCAAGTCCTTGCTGGTGAGTTTCTCTTCCTCTGCTGCTTTGCCTACTAAGAATTCACGACCCGCACCAGAGTGTCAGACCAGTCCTTACAAAGTAGGACTCCTGTAGGCCAGCTCTCCTGGCTCCGCGCTGATTTGTCGTGGAGAAAATATTGAGCCCATCAGGACCAGGCTTGCATGCAAACCCCCAACTTCCTTCCAACTCTCCAATGTCTTCGTCTTCACTGTATTTGTTGACATAAAGAATCCACAGCCCGGAGCTGGTTTCCTGTTTTGTAGTAGGCAGTGGGCATCACCCGAGGGTTGGGGTAGGGGTCCTTTCCACGCGGCAGCTGCAAGCACGCCAGGTTGCGGGGGTGAGGAGTGGGGGGGGGGGTGCCGCATTCCCCCAGCACCCCGTCCCAGTAGCTGCGAGCTCATTTCCAGAGCGGCTTGGGCCGCTGCAGTCCCTCCCGCAAGTTAGCGCCCTGACCAGGCTGCCTGCCGCTCACTGTGGAAAGGAACGGTTTCCTTCAGATCGAGTTTTTATGCGCAGGAGCTTGGTCCCTCTGCTTCCAACTCACGTTCGGGTTCTTTGGGCGAAGGCTGAGTTTGCAGATGTGGTGAAGGGCAGCGCAGTGACGCCTGGGACAAGGAGCGCTCTCCCCACCACCTAAATCAGTCCGAAGTGCAGGGGCAGGAGGGGTGCCTGAGACCTGATGCTAGTTCTTCCAAATTAGGGGAGGGGGCTCTCCCTTCTTTGAGACTCTGTGAGAAACAGAGCAGTGATGAACTAGAGTTCTCTCTGGATTTCTGTTCTTTCCTTTCAGATGGCTCTTCCCAATGGCTGGCTCCTGGCTGGTTCTGCCGTACTCGGTCAGATGTAGCAGGCAGTAAATGGGCCATTTATCCAATAATTTGCTCTCCTCAAATCCGTCCTGAGGTGATCTTAGGGGCAAGGTCTGCGGTTTTCTTTCTTGACCTCCCACTTCCACTTTGAAGTACAAGCCTTTGGCCACCACAGTACAGAGTGACTTCCCGTGTTCCAAAATTATCCCCACAGCACAAAACCTTTCCTTGACTTCATTATTGCTCCGCTCTAAAACAAAACCTTAAATGAGTGACTAAGGATATAGCTTCCCCTGTGTTCTGGCCAGCCCAAATTCTGGACATTCCCCCACCCCACCCCCCTCACCCCCCACACAGACACACACCAGAAAAGGGCGCTACTTTCACCCCGGTACATACAGAATTGAGGATCCTCAAAATACTCAACTTCCCACTTTCTCTATTCCCAAATGGTCTGCTCCTCCAGTGAGGATTCTGGGAAATTGCCTTCTTCATACATTTCTTCTTCCTCTCTCCCAGTTCCCTGAACTCCCTGCCGCTTTCTGGATCTTTCTTGCCTTGCCACTATCTCTTTGCCCCAAGCCTGCCTGGGGTGGAAACCAGAGGGTTTGGATGTCTTGCAAATGTAGCTCATAAAGCTGCTTGGATACATTAGAAACACATGAATATCCCCGAAATACAAAGTGTCTTTAAAACCAACCAAGGAATGTTTATCCTAATACCAGATCAATGCAAAGAAGTAGTTCCAGAGAACGGTGCTGACAGCCTCCTCCAAGTTAAAGTGAGAGCAGGTAAATTTAATTTGCTAATGAAAATCAAACTCAATTAGACTTTGGTTTCCCTTTGTCCTTTTCTTGTTCAACCCTTGGAGCCTAGGGTCTAGGATCCCAGGGTCCTGTAGCCATGGTTGGTAAGAAGTTCTCTATCAAGAAAAAAAATACAGCCAAAATCTCAAGTGACATAGATGCAAGAGGGCTGTCAAACCTCAGAGACCTAAACTTGCCCTAGTGAAAACCAAGAGCAGAGGAAAAGCTATGGAAACTCCTTGAACAAAGGCTGGGCTGTAGCCATGCTGCCCTTGAAGGGCTTTGCTGAGAAATCTGGTGCACCAAAGCTTGGGCAGTCAATAATGGAGACTTCTCCAACTTCCAGCCCAGCCCAGTGCTGGACTCCGGGGCTCCAGTGGCCACTGCTCCCTGAACTTCACCATGAGCGCCCTGACGTCTCTTTCTTAAGCCGTGAAGAACCCAAGGATAAAGTTGTCAAATTGCTGGTGCTTCTGCCAAATCTTAGAAGAATCCTAAGCTTGGGAGACAAAAGGAGCTCAGGAAGCCAGGCCCAGCAGGGCAGGCAAGCAAATTTTGCCTGTGCCTTTGGGAAACGAGGAAGGACACTGGAAGAGACTGCTGGCTTCCCAAGAGCCAGGCTTCATCTTCTGGCCTTTCTTTTCCCACACCAAGCTGGTGTCCCACTGCCTGGAGCATTACAGAAGAAACCGTTAACGAATCTCTTCTCTCCCTCTTTGAAAGACTGAGGGATTGTTTTTGTTTTGAAGTGAGCAGAAAGTCCTACCCAAAATCATTCTGAGAGTTTATTCTAATTCTAGAAATAATTTCCAGTGATGCCTAGAGATCAGTACAAGCAGGGCATGCAAACATTTAAAAACAGTGAAGACACAACCCAGAGGAGGGGAAGAATCAGATATGCCAAGATGCCACTGACATATGCCTAGTAGAAAAAAAAAAAAATCACACCCGTGTATGAGATTTAAGACAGGAAGAGAACAAAGAGGCTGCTTTCTCTAAATGATCCAGTCTTGAGGGTTCTTCCCCCCCCCCCATCTCTTTCAAGTTGATAAGAAAACATAAACTTCAGTAATTAAGATCCAAAGCCCCTCCACGGTGGGCTGGCCACGAGTAAGAAGCCAAGCAAAGTGACTTCAAGATGCTAAAGCCTCCCCCACCCCTCGCTCCATTCTTCCCAGACAAACCTGCTTCTGGCTCCTCTGTGAAAAAGATGAGCTCCCTTCTCACCATTTTTGGAGTGGAGGGACCCAGCCGACTTTGGCAGTGTGTAGAGCTGAGGCCCTTCCCCTGCGCGCAGGGCTCCCGGCTCCAGTGAACTGGGGAGGAGAAGGGGAGAGAATGTGGAGCTGCTCTTGGCTGCTGTGTGGACCAGCCATGCAGCCACTGCCAGCGATGGACTGGCATCGGCTGGTGGCGGGGGGCTTCCCGCGCTGCGTTTTCGTTTTTCTTTTCCCCCCAATCTAGTTGGAACACTTCTTCAAGAGGCTCGGAAACCCAGCTAAGAGCAGGGCAGCGACGAAGAGGATCAGTTCAGTCTGTAAACACCGCCCCCAAAACTCCACAAAGAGAGTTAAAAAAAAAAAATGATGCCGAGAAACCAAACAGAGCTAGAAACCAGACCGGCAAAAGATCTCGGAAAATTGAGAGTGAGGGGAGGTGGGCGGCCGGCCTCCAGGCTTTCATTGCAGTTTCTCACGCTGACTAGACAGCAACTTTCAACTTGACCTTGGCCTCCAGCCGTGTCTGACCCGTATGTAAACTGCCCTCAAGCCCTCAGGTCTCCAAGAATCGGAGCCTGGAACCTTACTTTGTCTCTTTGTCACTGTTGAGTTTTACAATGCCACTTAGAGGGAGGAAGGAGTTGGGGAATGGATGAAAGGGGGCTGCAAGTGAGCACAAAAATCAAGTCTCCGCAGAGGTTGCTTCCTTAGCCTGCAAAGGGCCAGCCGGTGAGAAGCTAGGTAAAGTGGGGGCAAATCAATATTTACCCAGGACTGCTAAAAAGTCAGGAGGGACACTGGGTGGGGGGGGAGAATTGGGTGTGGGGATCAGGGAAGGTTTTATTGGGCGACACTTAACATTAGTCAGAACAAACCCAGAATCTAGGCAGATAAAAGCCTGAGCCCAGCCTTATTGGAACCAATCTTGCCAGAAGTCCAAGGGGCTTACAGAGCAGAAGATAAATGGGATGGCATGTGTGGTGTCCTAGCTTAGGGCTAAGTCTACAAGCTGGGACCAGAGGATAGGCAGCCTGGCTGCCTCCCAGAGCCTCTGAGACCAAAGGGAATACAGAACTCCAGAATGCACCCACTTTCACTTTGGCCATTTGTTCCCCTCGGGACATCTGACCAGGTCACAGTTGCACAATCAGATGGTGGAGGGAGGGTCCTCAAAATCCTTCACCCAAACCCTGCAACTGCAAGTGGCTTTTCCAGTACAAACACCCCGCCGAGCTCCCGGGTGTACACTGGTTCCGATGCTCGAACCCACTGCAGGCTGAGCTCCTACCGAGAGGAAAGGCGCTACACGACCCCAGAAATCCTTGCTCTCTTTCCCCCTCATGGAACGCAACCGTGGGTTCCCAGATGTCTAGAGAGTCTTGCCCAACTCCATGGATCTACGGAATGGCTCTTAGGCTTAGAACCCGAGCTGGAGTTCCTGGGAGCCCAGCTGGGCCTGTTCCTCTCACGCCCCTTCAGGAAAAGGCAGCCGGACGCGTGAGACAGGAGCATGAGGGGATGGGGCTTGCTTTCTTCATCTGAAATTCTCTGCACACAAGAAAGAAGAGCTGCCGCATCGGCATCGGAAGGAATAGCGAGCTGTACACACAAGTGGGAGAATGTGGCAGTGTGTGTGTGTGTGTGTGTGTGTGTGTGTGTGTGTGTGTGTGAATTCGCGAAGGGGGTAGACAGATGCGATTAGTTGTTCTGATAGTCTCAGCCTGTGGGCCTAATTGAAATTGTCCTCCAGGGCCTGACACTCGGGGAAGGGAGCTCCTAAATAAACGCGGCTCAAGCTTCCCAGCCCAGCGTCCCGGGACTCCTGGCAGGAACCGACAGGAAACAAACGCCCTGCCCTTGTTCCCCAGGGGTGGGGGCCGCGTGGGGTGGGGAGCCGAATCTCGACGAGGCCAAAGCTCCGGCATCCCCATAGGGTCTGGCTGCTGAAGGACGTGTCCATCCCTGGAAAGGAAACAGCCCCAGAGGCTCCCAAAACGCTCCGGGCCGGGAGGGCCGCTCCAGAGCCAAACGCTCCTCCGTGGCCACTGCTGAATCTACCTGGCTCGCCCCCCACCACCCCGGCTCGCACCCAACCGCGGGCGCCCAGGGCCCCTCCCCACCTCCGCGCGACGCCTCGGTCCCCGGTGAGGCTGGGGAAGGGGTCGGGGTCCGGGGAGGGTCCGGGGAAGGGATCGAGGTCCGGGGAAGGGGTCGGGGTCCGGGGAGGGGATCGGGGTCCGGGGAAGGGGTCGGGGTCCGGGGAGGGGGTCGGGGGCCCGGGGAGGGGGCGGGGACCGGGGGGGGGATCAGGGTCCGGGGAGGGAATCGGGGCCCGGGGGAGGGGATCGGGGTTCCCCGCGCCCCCCGCCCCGCCCCTCCCTCCCGAGCCCCCCGCCCTCCCCGTGGGTGACGGCCGCGCGGAGGGCGCTGGCGCGGAGGAGCGGCGCGGGCGGGCGGCGGCGGCGGCGGCGGGCGGCGGGGACGGCGGGGCCC